ATAACTAAAACTGGTTGGTCACCTGGATCATCCTCGCGATAATACCCTTGCATGACTATCGTCAATGCAATGGGTCAGTTCCATTAATTTCTTTAAATATATTCCTTTCAAAAACTTCAAAGCCATTATTTGAATACACAAGTTATATAAGTCATATTACACTGTTATTCAGGTGATTTAGATGAGTTAATAAATGGAATATATTATTGGCTTGAAACCAATTTTACTGTTACTAAAATTTCTCTTAGAGTTGTAAATGCAATTAGATGCTTTCTAATTACAATTTTTTTACGAACAAGTAAGAGACTTAAACATTTAGTGTTTGTCGGATTAATTTATGATAGATTTATATGGTTATAAAAGATATTTGCAGAAATATTATTACCCATCTATGCCTTAAAAGAGATAAATTGGGTGATGAAGGTGAGAAGGAACTCGCAAAAGTACTTTGCATAATCACTACAGACTTTAATGGAAATAAACTCGGTTCTGAGGGTTGGAAAGCATTTATTTAGGCCCCTTGCATAAACACTACTCTAACTTCTTTAGACCTTAGTGGAAACAACTCGATTCTCATAATTTGAAAGCAATTGCAGTTGCAGAGGCTCTTTGTATAATAATACTTTACCTTCTTTAAATGTTGGATTTAATCATCTCGGTTCCGAAAGTGGGAAAGTATTAGCAACGGTTCTTTAAATAAACACTACTTTAACTTTTCAAATATTGAATGTAATAAACTCTGTTCTGAAGTTTTAAATATAAGGAATAATAAACTTAGTTCTGGGGTTGAAAATACATTTACGAAGGCTCTTTGCATGAACTTCTTTGAATCTTAGTTATAATTACCTCTGTTCAGAAAGTGGAAAGGTATTGGCAGAGGCTCTTTGTAAAAATACTACTTAACCTCGTTAGATATTAAAATAATTTTCTCTTTTCCGCTAGTTGAAAAACGCTTGTGGAAGCTCTTTATATAAATATTTCACTCTGATTATATCTACACCTCAAAAAAACATAAAGAAATTGTCCGATATATCCAGATGTCGGTTTAGTCAGAGGCATTTTCATATTGAGTATATAGGTTGAAAATTGTAAAACAATGTCGTTATAACCAGATGTCGGTATATCCAGATGTCGATATAACCAGAGTGTACTACTTTAACTTCATTAGACATTGGATTTAGTCAACTCGATTCTGAGTGTGGCAAAACATTTGCAAATGCTCTTTGTAAAAACTAGAGTTAACACCCTATCTGGCTTTATACTGTATATACTATGTCATGTGATATAACGTGACATAGTGTTTTATATCCGGATATAAATCTGGATATAAAAAATATATCCGGATAGAGGTATTAACTCTAGTAGAAACATCACACTAACTTTGAAACTTTTTAAGGATGATCTCGGTTCCGAAATTGGGAGGGCATTTGAGTGTTAAAGAAAACCTGAAAATTTAAATATAAGTCATATTTAAATTTTCGGGTTTTCTTTTGGCGACACTCATTTGCCGTGGCACTTCGTACAAATAAAACTCTAACTTCTTTAAATTTTTTAGATACTGAATTTTCATCACAAAATACCACACTCACGTTATATTTTTTGATAATGGAAACCATTTGTAAAGTTTTTAGTTTAAATTCTTTTCCGATTTTTCTAGATCTTAATTAACTTGGTTGAAGCATTAGCAAAGGATCTTTATGATAATGTCATACTGACATTTTTATTAAGCAACTTAATTTTAAAGTGAAAGTATTAACAAGTTCTTTGTAAAAATACCATTTGCAGCGTTTTGTGAATATGATATTTTGATTGTTGTAGTTCAAATTTCGATATTAAAGTGCTTAGAAAATAAGTTCTATAAATCTGTTTTTATATCCTTACTTTCATTTTTATTAGAAATGTTTTATAAATTTTATTGGTTTTTTTTTATGTAAGAAGCTTATACCATTTTAGAAATTTCACTAGTTATAAACAAAGAAAATTTATATTCATAACACCGGTGTTATATAACACCTCTAGTATAGAATATGTATTGATCTGAGTTGGGGCTAGAGTTTTATGTTAGGGTAAATATACAGTTTAATAATAGGGTGTTATATAACATGGTGTTATAAATATAACTTTCCAAAAACAAATATATAAAGTTTAATTTATTATTAAGGATAATTTTTATTTCGAGACAAAACTAACACGTGTATACATACATTTATTTAATATCATGTAATAATAACTAACATAGATAGTATAAATAAAATAACCCCAGAGTAGCTAGCTAAAAATATATACAAAACTTTCTCTTTCTCCATTTTGCTTCAAACAGCTACCTTTTTTATAAATCATTTTCACATTGTTCATTGATTAAAAAAACTTAATTACAATTTTATAAAATTATAATACAATTCGATCCAATTTATCTTCTTTAAGCATGACTTCTTTTAAATTGTTATCTATTTATTAATAATCGATAATAAAATTACACTTGTTATATAAAATATTAAGCAAAAGAAATTCTTATTTATTGTTATAAATCACATTTACGGTACCTTCGCTTTCATATAAAGATGGTTCATTGGTAAATTTATTTTTGCCATCATATATTTCCATATCATTTCCAACATCAAAGTTTTTATCAGATAACGCTTTATAGATTTTGTGGGGATATTTGCATCCAAATACATATGCTTTTTGAACAATTGAGATACTCAGTAAAATAAAACTTATTATAAGAGCGAGTAATGGAACCGTCTTATATGTAATTGTATTCAAATAGTAACACACCTAAGATAAAATGCAATAATCAAATTGAGTTGATTTATATCAGCATTTATGTGTAAAGATAGCAATAATTTAAGGAATTAGGTATTTTCACACTCATGCTGGATTCTGCCATACATATTACGCTTGTTCTTTAATATTAAAACTTCAAAAATTTAAATCATCTCTCGTATTTCTGAATATTATATAATGTTGCCATTTATGCCCTGTTGAAAAATTTTTGCTATAACTTTATCCTGATCCACAGGGAATTAGTGAAAACAACATTCCACTTATTTGCATATTGATCATTAATCCCCGTGATCTTGATATAGTATTATACATGAGATCAAAAATTATGTGCATGTGATTCTCTATTAATTATATATGAGTATGACAAAATCCAACATGAGTATAGAAATTTCTATGTCAAAAAATTATATTTTTATATTAGAACTTACTTGAATTATTAACCATGGTATGTCATTAGCTATAATAGTTAAAATTTTACCCCAAAAAATAAAGTTTTTTGCTTGATTTGAAATTGGAGCAGTAAATATCTTTAATCCTGCAAAATGAGAACTTGATAATAATAAAATTTCAATATTAGCACTTGCTAACAAGGTAAAAAAAGTAGCATATATAGTATTATTGGCAATCCACTCTCTAAAATAACGATTTGAACTTTCTTTGTATATAACTATAAATACAAGAATTATATCCAGGATAATCTTGGTTGACAATATAACAATACTATATGCGTTACGAAAAAAAGGTTATAAATAAATAAATAAAATAAATAAATTATCTAATATAAATATAATAATGATTTAAATTAAATTTATGATACTAACCTTATAACAAAAAGATCTGGTGTTGGAACATTTCGTATATCGTATATTATAAATAAAATGTTTGTAATCAAGAGAATTATACTCAAAATTGTTGTAAAAAAGATAATTTCGTCACACTAAAAAAAAAAATGATATGTTACAATATACGCAGCAATATGATATTCATTTTTAAATAAAATATTTTAAAATCTTACATTGTTTTGTGAAAAAACATTATTAAATTCATCTTTTTGTATATTGTAACATTTAAATTCGGATAAACATTTTAATTCATGAGGGCAACATTTAGTGGGTGAAAATTCCCGAAAATACAAACATTTTCTCTGATTTTTTGTTCTTTTATGCAAATAGAATGCAAGGAAATAAAATGGAATGAAGGCTGCTAACTCGATTACAAAATACTTGATTTCATCGAATAAATTTGCTAAAATATGAAGATATAAACATATTAAATGAACTGGAAAATTGAATAAACATTAACATTATTCGATAATACTTACATCTTGGTGTAAATAGATAGTGTTTATCAATGTCAACATCTGCTAGATTAGTAATACGTTTATTACCAACTATTGTGTTTAGATCATCTATTATTTGAGAATTTTGTTGTGCATTTATAGAAAGTTCGAACAATATCTGTCCACTTGAATCAGTTTCAAAGCGTCCGGAGAATTTCAACCTTGAAGGATCAATAGGAATGCTTTTAACAAGTTTTTCACTTAACTTATTGATATACGTTTGTTGGCTTTCAGAGGTTAAATTTTTAAAATACTTTGTTCCACTTTCAGACAAACGTAAATACCCTGTGACTGAATCTAATAAGAATAGGACTATTATTATTAATTTCACTAAAATTTGTAACAAAATAACAGTTATTAATTACGAGGCTTACCAACATATTTATTATTGCTATTATTATTCTCTATATTACCAATAAATAAAATAACAATCCATTAACCAAAAAAATAAAATAAATAAAAGAAATAAAAATTCAAATAATAAGAAACATTATTAGCTAGCCTAGCATATGTATTTACTCACGATGTATTGGTTCTGTTTTTACTATCCATAGATTACCCGTAATACCTGGTAATTGCTCTTGATATAAAGAATCTTTGACAAATCCATTCTCAACGATTATAAGATAAGTTGAATTTAAAATATTAAAAGTGCTACTTAGAATTTCACAGCTTATTGTAAGATTGTTAGATGCAATTGAACAATGGCGTGACAATCCTGAATATTTTTGGCGCAATATTTTTGCATTATTATCCGTTTCATTTATTTGGTAAATTAAAAGATTAAATGATGATTTTATAATTTCAAAATTATATGTAATAGTAAGATTTGAAGTATTCCGAAGAGTTAAATATGTATTGTTGTTAGGTGGGAATGATGAGTTGATCATGAGATTACGAAAGCCTGCTATATAATTGCATCAAATGAATGTTAAAATATATAAGTTACAATTTAGAAAATAACATAATAAGAAGAAATTACCGGTATCAGTCTCATACTCTTTCATATGGTAGCCAATAATGCTCCAAGAACTTTTATCATCTGGCTTAGCAAATAAAATAGAATTGTTGTATAAAGCATCCATTGTGTGTGCTCCAAAAAAGTTACTTTCTATTTGTATATTACTAAGGTCTATTCGGTCTATTCCCCCCGTTTCATTATATAGAGTAAGGTTAAACCTTGTAATGTTTGAACTATCATCTAACAGGTCTATTTTAACATAACCTCCAAAAGGTAATGAAATAATTTCATATTCATTATCATTTGTATTATTAACAACGTATGAAAAGAAATTACGAACTGATCCTGAAGAAAGAAATTGAATGGTGCATAAATAATCTGGAATATCTCTTGAACGTTGCTTCACATTTATTTTACAAGTATTTCCTACTTCAGTAGTATTAATAAAACAAGAAATATAATTAAGCATTATATCTTCTTTTGTTTCATATAGAATAATTGGCCCATATGCAATATCTTGATTATATCGGATAAATCTTGCATTTATGCTTCCATGTGTCTCAAATAGGGTTTTATTATTAGTTAATGTGTTACTGAGATATACTATAGCATAGTCATTATTAGTAGTCGAGAATATTGTATAATTTACATCACTATTATCCTTATCAAGAAAAAAGTTTTTTATTTTGCCGGAAGCTATTAGGCTTAATTGCCCAGAATCGCTAAAAAAAAGAATTATAGTGACTATTACAGATTAT